TGCAACCAAGACATGAAGAGGATAGTGCTTTGTTTTCCCCCCTGGTTGCTATTGGTAGCTATGCCCAGGGAGCTGTGGTGGAAAAACAAGAGAAACTCGACTCGGAAAAGGAAAAAGCCCCATTGACTGAGGAGGAAAAGACGGCAAACCCAACATGAAACCCAAGATACTTGAGAGAGTTATAAACCTACAATGAGTAAGCCTTCTTTTTAAGGTAACAACAAAAAAGAAGGAAACACTCAAAGTAATCCAGTTGTCTTTGCAGCTCAGTTGTGTTTATTTCCCATTTGTGATTAAAGGATTTCCAAACAAATCCACGGATGACCTTAAGAGGGATATATCACTGCTCCTTTATAATCCTCAACCCAAACCAATACAAAGAATACATGTACACTAAACATGCAGGAAGAAACACCAAGGATATTATATTTGTTATATGTATTAGTTTAATCATATAGTGATCAGCAATTGTTAACTATAGCAGGAGAAATGTATAAATACTTAACTTTTTGTCCATGATCTTGTAGTTAATATTTCCTTTTTTCAAACCTAAAAGCAGCTTACCATCTCTTGCTTGGCTCGGTTGTCTCCTTGCAGATTCTGTCTATTTAACCTCATCCTCCGCCTTAATCCTGTACATAAGCCCAAAACAAGAGATCACCACACACACCCACACACTGTACGTGTACGCATGCACAAAAGAACATCTGAATACAATCAATCTGAAAGACCTGCAACAACATAAACCAACAGCTAAAGCCATGCATGTTTTGGTGTTAAGAGGAAATTGGTGAAAAAGAACCCTGGAAAAGCACCTGCTAGCCTACTGAAGCATAATAGCTAGGTTAAACAATGTAAAATCATATCAACAATGCTACTGCTAACATTCTGCCAACATAATAACTTAACAAAAAAATTAAAACACATGTAAAATACAACAACATTACAACATGAAGGGATGGACTATGTTTTCAAAATGACGTGTAAACCAAAAACAGGTAGCAGCAGGTGAAAGCAGAAAATGTGCAACTAACTTAAATATTGGGGAAGAGAAGGATTGGCCTGTTTTGTATTAGCAGTGCAAATACAGTATGTTGATGCTTTTTCATCAAGCATCATTGGCAAAATATGGAAAAAACCCAAGACAAAGACAGAATAGAAAGACATACCAACAGGCCCAAGGAATTGGCTTCAGACTCAAATGTATCATGTAAAAAACAGTACTTTAAAGGGGACCTATCATGCAAAATGCACTTTTGTACGTCTTTTATACATGAATATGTGTCCCCGGTGTTCCAGGGAACTCACCAAGTGTCAGAAAACACAACCCTCTCTATTTTCCTCCATACCCAAATCTCTAAAAAAGGGGCTGCAACGGATCTGATAAAAACTGATCCAGATTTGAACACTGTCCTGACGTGCAAGAGATGTAATATATAACAAACATTAGCTGCTCTTTTAAATACATACACACATACAAAAGTCTACAGTTTATAATCTTTCCAGTCCACTGATACATTATGACAAGTCAGAGCTGATCATACTCCATCATGCCGGATGTTGTCTCTCAACTCTTTTCCTCTCCACACCTCCTCCCCCACCCTGACCTCCATTTCTACTCTCCTCCTTTGAGTCTCCCTCTCTTCTCCTCCATCTAAACATGATTTGCCTGTCACACCGTCACATCCCTGAAGTCTCCCCCCCCCCCTTTACAGAGTCCTCATCCAGCTCCGTTTGTACTCTCAGTGAGATGCAATTGTGACTTCCTGATTTACACATCTGATGTATTTGATACTCAGGTTATTCTCTTAAACTGGGGCTTCTTAGCTTCCTATTGCACCAACCCCTCTCCTACAGAGGCAGCTTTAATTGCACATGGTTGTCTGCATGATTACCCAAGCACAGATAAAGTATGATGTAAAATCATAGTGACAGATGACGTGTGGAGGGGGGGAGAATCAGCAAAGCAGGGGAGAAATTAAGGTAGAGTTGGTTAGAAAATATTGCAGAAAGCGATGGAGATGGAATGACCAAGAGAGATACAGTACATGTGTCCTGAGGTCCTTAAATAAAAGTTGATCTGTTTTCATGAAAACCATTATCAATATCTACAGGGTTTGACAGTTATATTTTAAAACTAATGACATTTCGGTCTCTGAAATTAAATGAACCTGCACTCTAATCACACCGAGGTAATATTCTGATAATTGCAGCTGTCAAATATCACCTCAACCAGATTATCCTATTTCAATTAATGTTTTAATGATAGCATATTGTTTCTGTCAATTACAGGCCACCAATGTTTAGCACAACAGAACCTGTTCATTTTTTACATTAAGCTCATCTTGGCATGGGCATAAAGCAACAAGGGTAGGAAAAGAGGTCCAGAGATTGAATGTCAAAAATAGAGGTAAATTAGTTTACTGGCATGTGTAGAAGAGTCCAAACGGAGGTTAGAGTCCAAGACTGAACAGAAAACATTGCAGGAAAAAAGTGGAGGGAAACACAGATTCCAGTAGCCTATGTGTCGCTTAAAAACAAGGCAAAACAACGGGGGAAAGGATAAAGGGCTGGTGAACAAAAGTAGAAAGAAACAGGTGAGAGCGTAGGAGGGGAAGGTCAGGTGACTGTGGGGGCTGGATGTTGGAGTCATGTGACTGAGGCAGATGGAAAGGTCTGAGAGCACCTGGTGGATGGAAGGAGAATTGCAATAATGCCAAAGAAAGGCATCAGGGAGACAGGGGACTGACGGGAGGGACAGAGGGGAAGAATGAGCAAAAACAGGACTGAAGCAAATATTTTGACAAATGTTGATGTGAAGTCTGGCAGATCTGTCTTGCAAAACCAGATGGCTATAATTATTAAGTAAATACATTTTTCGTAGGAGACTTTGTTTAAAATGTGACATACAAATTATAATTTTATCATCTAAATGTATTGATATTTTATTTGGAAATTGGTCAAATTAAACACGCTCGCAGTTTGGTTTTTCCTTTGGGACCAACAAATAAAGTTGTGTTGATGATGACACTAATAAACCTTCATGAGCAACTGTTTGCATATATCAGATATAAAGTAGACCTATATGGTTTGTCTGCACTGCGGGTTAGGAAAAGTGTTACTGCTTACTTGTTCTTTTATGCAATTATTAAAAATACGTTTGTATGTACAGTAGTTACAGTTAGAACTATGGGTCGATCTTTGCTTAAATGAAAGTTCTACATATGGTTGAACTTCAACACATTCATTTTGGCATCCAAACAGGGACTTAGGCTGATTATGTCAGAGTTATGGCATGTCTAATCATAAACACATTTTGAAGCTCTGACAACAGGGGGTTATCTGAAGCAGCCACGATCGAGCAAGATCTTCTGTACCTTGCTCTTAACCTTAAAAAATGTAAATGATTGTTAAAGCAATATTTAGGGTGAAATGTTATGGATTTGTATTTCAAACGATTACGCTTCAAAACGTATGGGTCCAAATTACGTTTTCCTGGCAAACAACCACATAAAAGTTTCTTAACTGTCAATGCTGCAAAGTCATACCTCCACTGTATGATTCTATCCCACATTGAATACTGTTTTACAAACTGGTCGTTTGCTTGTGCCACAAACCTCAAACCAATAGAACAGCTGTACAAGAGAGCTATGTTTTTGACAGAAAGCCAAATTCATACCACCACTGTACCATCCTTGAAAAACACAATTTCTTAAGCTTTGACAATTTTAAGTCTTTTAAAAGTATGTGTTTTTTTTATAAATGTTTACATGGACTGGCCCCTCCCTTATTGGAATTCATCCACAAAAAACACACTGGACGCTGCACTAGGTCAGACACCAGAGGAGACTGTGAGGTCCACCGTATATAGACGGACCACTTTTGGACAAAATGTACTCCCCATGAAAGGCAGCTCTTTCTGGAATAGCCTCCCAACTAAGATACAGGATTGTCCCACTCTCAATAGTTTTAAAGGTCAACTCAAAGAATGGTTGAGAAACAAACAGACGTGCAATCACCGCTAAATGCACTTTAATACAGGGGCATCTCCTCTTGCACTTTAAGCATCTCTTTTATCTCCTCTTGCACTTTATATGTCGTTGCTGCTATATTGTATTACCATGTCATAAATACTTGTGTATGCTGCTCTTGCTCTTTTGCACTTTTTGCATATCATGTATTTAGTTTTTGCTATGTTTGTAAAATGTAATTTTCTTAAATGTTTTATGTGAGGGACTGCGGATGGAAATGAGCTCAAACCTAAATCTGGCACTGTTACGCTTGACACATTTGAATGTTTTAAGTGTTCCTCACTGTGCATTGTCCCTGCCAAATAAACGATTAAATGAAAATGAAAATGAACAAGGCAAGTTTATTTATATAGCAACTTTCAACAGAAGGCAATTCAAGGCGCTTTACAAAAATGAAAGACATTCAGACAAAGACATTTAAAAACAGTCATTAAAAATAAAAGATAAAATAAACATTAAAAGAGAAAATACATGAATCAGTTCACACAGAAGTTCCACTTTACTGATGCCTTTCTTTAAGGTGTCTCCGAACATGAGCTGTGTACGCTTGTATGGCACATACGTCCCGAGCAGCATACACAGATTCCCTGGGGTTACTAGCCCCAAATGTTCATTAACCAAAAATGAAACACAACCGCTCAGTTTCAATTAAAAGCAGCGGCAAAAAGAACATTTTTTTTTATCACATTCTACAATGCCACTTCATGTTGGATGTAATCTTTCTTCTTGAGTGAAATATGTGAGTGCACAGCTCTTAAAAAAATACTTTCAGACTTGAATTTGATAGCCCAAATGTAATCAACATTTTCCCATTATGTAGTATAATATGTTTTCCTCCTCCAACAAACCAAAGAGATGATCCAAACTTGATACAAAGTCCAGAAAAAAACTGTCAAATTAAAGTGAGTAAAACAGCAGAAATCAGAATATGTTCTCTCTTAAAAGAAAGACATGGTTGATGACTTTAGTTCAGAATCTGGGTCTGTACTGAAACGGCATGTCTTTTAGGGGATGATTTACTCCGAAGCCCTTTCGATTCAGGTCAGTATCAGGTACTTCGTCATGAGGATTCTTCAGCTCAATCTCAAAGTAGACCAACATCAGGAAAATAAACTGTTTCAGCTCATTGTTGGCAAAGAACCTCCCAGGACACATGGATACTCCCGCACCCCAAGGCATGTTGTAATACTTCACCTTCTTCCCCGCTTTGTAGAAGTCAGTTTTCTTGCTCCCATCTGGATTAAAAAAACGGTCATATTTGAATGAATGTGGGTCAGGGTGGATCTCAGGGTCAGTTTGGACGACCATGTAAGGAAAGAGGGCCAATCTGTCGCCCTTGCGGACTAAACATTTACAACCATCAGCCATGTTAAGCGTCATATCCTGGCTCACTGCTCGAATGAGGGTGGGTGTAGCGGTGAGACGAAGGGTCTCATCCACAGCACTGTCCAAGATTGGCATTTTCTTCAGCATTTCACAGGTCAAGTCAATCAAAGGGCCACCATGAAGTACTTTCTGGCCAGATTCCTTTAGAACCTGATCTACCTCCCCCTTCACAGCCGCCATGGCTTCAGGGTGCTTCATGATGAAGAAGAGTAGCCAGAATGCAGTAGGCCCTGTGTTGGCTTGGGAAACCCAAAGAAGCACAAGCATCAACCTGTCTACCATTGACTCATTTATACCCATGTCCATTATGGCCTGATGCATGTCACACACCCACTTGCTGACGTTGTCTCTTGTCTTCAACTTTTGTATTGACAGAGCATTCCAAAAAAATGCCCTGACCGTCTCTGCCTCCCTTTTCTTCTCCCGCTTAAGGCCTCCAAAAGCAAAATTGGGGATAAAGCGATCAAATGTACAGAACTTGTAATATAAGGCTTCTGATTCACTAATGTCTTTTTCTTTGGCTTTCTCTAGACTTCCTTCAGACTGGTGTGACGCATTGCCAAAAAGGGATAAGTAGCCAGCCCTAAAAATAATATTGTAGCTGTAATTATACAGATTGTCTTCTATCCAGGTCTTTTGAACTGAAGATGGAACAACGTTCTTCAACAACAAGCTCTGCAGATTAGTCATCATCGAGAGTGTCAAAATCTCCAGCCCAGGCCCCATTAGGTGATTGTGGCTGGACTTCGTGATCATTTGGCGCTCATTCCCAGAAGCTTTGTAACCAAAGAGTTGGTGCACCAGCTGAATGGCATACTTGTTGAAGTCAAGTCTTTCTCGGCTCTCCTTAACGAATGCACCAAAAATGAAAGGGTCCATAAGGAATGTGATGAAGTAGCCTCCCAACTGTACTGTGAATACATTGCCATGTTTTTGCCTCATTCTTTCTAGGAACTTCATTTTGTCCTTGCGATACTCTAAACCATGACCCAGCCAGGGGATGAGCCCCTTATCTAAAGGCGGTTCTCCTGGTTGCCGCTGTCGAAACCCCCCCAAAAGGTACAGGCCTCCAATCAGAGAGGCAAGGAGGCCAAGAAGAATTGGTGGCAACAAAGTCATGATGGATTTTTCTTGCTACCGCAGAGTGATATGGGGTTTTGGTCCGTGTCCTGCATGATATAAATACTTTTGCTCCTCCTTTCCTCACTGAGTGAATGAAACACATTACTGTTAAGGAATAATTCTTCTCGATATCTAATCTTTTGCTCTGTGACGTTTTATGATCTACTCTGACGTCTGTTATCTCCTTTAAGGAAAGGCATTATTGGTGCCATATGTGTTGTTGTTACCAGTTTGTGACCGGTCAACTTGTCTGGCACGAATGGTAATTGTTGTGGGAACGCTGAGGCACTTCTTTATCGGTGTTTGTGGACTCTAAGATGTGAAATCTTTGAGGCCATGAGTGTCGGACGCAGGTGGTTCAGTGTTCCCAGCTGTTTAGTCTACTCTCTCAGAGATGTTGATTACTCTCTGTGAACCAGTTAAAAGATCTAGCATAGAGAGAGAGGCTCTTCAGAATTGACGTGGCAACTCTACCGTGAAGTCAGAACCTCTGACTCTTTGACTTGTGATGTGAATCCTCCGGCCGATACTCTGAATAAACCCATCAGTGTTTGACATCAAAAGCTCCAACTCTCACCGTGTCTCCTTCCTGAGTCGGTGACTCCCAATGCATTGCTACACAGAAGTTTCCCCCACAATTACCATCAGATTTAGAAAATATTTAAACTGTGAACTGCTCGACTGACTCACGCACTGACTCCGGATCAGCAGATGATTCACTTGATAGTCAACAGTTGATCATACAGTATTATGACAAACTTTATTGTTTCGAGTGTCTTTGTTATGTACTTGAGGAACCATCCACTAAATAAAGTGTTTTTTAAATTGGTCATGGTTATTTTAAGAACCAGAAAAACATTACAAAAGAGATTTACTATGTTGCTTCAGCTTCCGAATGTTTAATTCATCCAAACTATTTCCAAGATATGGCCCTGTATATCCGAGAGAGAGAGAGAGAGAGAGAGAGAGAGAGAGAGAGAGAGAGAGAGAGAGAGAGAGAGAGAGAGAGAGAGAGAGAGAGAGAGAGAGAGAGAGAGAGAGAGAGAGAGAGAGAGAGAGAGAGAGAGAGCGAGAGACCAAAGGTGATGGATTGTGGCATTATCAATGAAAAGGTTTCCGCACCAAAATCTGTCAAATGCCTGGCCTTGGCTGCTAAAATGAATAGTACCCTTAACTTGTCAACACTTTTCCCCCCATATCATCTACTTTATTTTCCTACTGTTCTGTTACAAACAAAAACACCTCACAGGAAATATAATCCATGTAGTCCAAGGTTGGATTTCAATTCGATGCAGTAAAGTCAGCATGTTGCACTGATGAAAACAGAATTGGCGTGGAGAAAAAAACAGTTTATACTCAAATTATATTGATATTATATCTAGGTAAATGACCACAGATTGGCGTATTGTTTAAGGAAATAACTGAAAATAAAGGCACAAGCGACTGTAATTCTAAAAAAAGAATAAGAGCATTTGTGATAAAGTCATAACACACTCCAGAAAAACAACCAAGACATTGCAGTCTAGCTTGTCCTTTTGCAAAGCAGCCTAATTTTAGCAAAGGCTGCTAAAACTATCTCAGATTCCCTTTCAAAGGGTTAGTCAGGGTTAAGCTTCAGCACCAATGTGATCATGTTCAGGCAGAATGAGAGCAGATAAGGAGGCCTCAAGGACAGTTGTTTCAGAATGAGCCATTTGAAGGTATTGATTTTTCCCTCCTTCGCACGAGTCAGTGCTCATTTGAATGACATTGCTCTGCCGTTAATATTAACATCCAAGCAGGGCATACACCAATACACCTATAAACACCTTTATAAGAAATGACCCCTCCTGTGGCTGCATTCCCCAAAATGTTTGTGTCATGTGTGGGTTGAGGGGAGAGGACAAGAAAGTCATTGTTTAGTCTGTTTTCAATCACTTTAGACAGCACACGGGTTAATGTAACAATGACATGTTAAAAAAAGGCAAGACAAAATATGTTTTCAAAAAATCTTTCCATACTGCCTTTCTTTTATCACCCCTTCCTCCTGACTAATCCCTTGACCTTTCTTCACCTTTATTTCTTATTCCTCACACAGCGTATGTTGATATCTCTCTCAGCCTGCCATTATTATGGCACAGTGAACGGATAGGTGGTATCTTTGTAATAAATTATAGCATATAGGGCACTTCAGTATAAGTGTAAAATGCTTTGCAGTACCAGGGCAGAATCTATATTTCTGGCATGGTTGTCTCCAGTGAAAAATAGGTTGCAAACCCATTGGTGCCACATTTCTTCCATTCGGCTACATTTGTCATGCACATTGCAGCAGGTAATGTGGTCTTGCAAGGCCAGACATATAAATGTGTGCGTTTATATGCACATCTTGAGTCAACTGGGGGGGGGGGTTTAGCTGGGAACAATAAAAGTGAAATGTACATACATCAATACAACACACCGTGAAAGAGGTGCTCAAATCATGAATGGAGCAAACACATCCACAACAACAGATTTAAAGGATAAGTTCAAAGTTTCTCAAGTCTCAAAGCAATCAGATGTCAAGTGTAACAGCACTCTGGGAAAAAATCCGCCTCTAACGCACACATCATTTGAGGCTACAACTTTTGATTTGGACTAAAGAAGTGGGTATCTTCTAATGTCTTTTTAGTTTAAACGAGTAGTTTAATATGTTTAATTGTCCCTCCTTATAGTGCAGATTGGACCACAGCCAGACCCATAAATCCAAGCAGATAACATTAAAGTTGTGTCTCTACTGGAACTGTCTACTGGATCACAAAAACATTAAGGACCAGACGGCAGTCAAAGCAGCCAAAACAGAGCACATTTCTCTGTTAATCTCCAAAAACAGCCATACCTCAGGTTCTTTTTAATGTCCTCAACTCTATCATTAATCCCTGTGATGTTTCTTCTATTGTCCCATCGACTACTCTCTGTGATAAGTTTCTTACATTTTTTATTGAAAAGGTATCTGCTCTTAGGCTAGCCCACACTAGTGCTACCCCAGATCCTGCTCCTTTTCTGTGCCCTGCTGTCCTCGACCACTTTGAGCCTGTATCCCTCTCTTCTCTCTCGGATGTAGTCAAGCACCTGCGGCCGACAAACTGCACCTCAGACAGCATTCCCTCTCGCCTTCTCAGAGATGTTTTTGATTCAGTTGGAGCAAGTATTTTATTACTTTTAAACACCTCTCTTACCTCAGGATGTGTCCCAGCTGCCTTCAAACATGCCGTGGTTAAGCCACTCCTTAAAAAGAAAAATCTCGACCCCTCCATTCTCGCAAATTTTAGGCCCATCTCCCAGCTACCTTTTTTATCAAAAGCCCTGGAGCGAGTAGTCTACGCCCAGCTGCAGTCTTTTTTAACCATCCATGGAATCCATGAAAAGTTTCAGTCTGGCTTCAAACCCATGCACAGCACTGAAACAGCCCTTTTAAGAGTTTTTAATGATCTGCTCCTAGCCGCCGACTCAGGTAGCCCAGCTGTCCTGGTGCTGTTAGACCTGACAGCTGCCTTTGACACTGTGGACCATAGCATCCTGCTGTCACGGCTTGAACAGTCCGCTGGCATCACAGGCTCTGCACTTGCATGGTTCAGGTCCTACCTGACAGACCGTAGCTTCTCGGTACAGCTAGGTGCCTTCTCCTCTGCCAAAGCCCCTCTTACCTGTGGGGTTCCCCAAGGCTCGATTCTGGGCCCCATCCTTTTTCTACTGTACATACTGCCCCTAGGTTCAATTCTCACAAAACATAACATTCCCTTCCACTGCTACGCCGACGATGTACAGATCTATCTGCCTCTCAAAGCAAATGTCACACACTCACTACAGCAGCTGATGGACTGCTTAGCAGAGATAAAATCCTGGCTGACCAAAAACTTCCTCAACCTCAACGAGAGCAAGACCGAGGTCATCTTTTTTGGACCGCAACCTCCAGCCTCTCCGGTTGATATTCTGGGCTCTATCAAAAAAAACATCCTCCCCTCGGTCATGAACCTTGGAGTGACCTTCACTAGCACTTTTAAATTCGACAAGCAGGTCAGCACCGTAGTAAAATCCTGCTTTTTTAAAATAAGACTATTGGCCAAAACCAAGTCGTATTTATCTTTTAAAGACTTAGAAAGGGTTATTAACGCCTTTGTAACCTCGAGACTGGACTATTGTAACGCTCTGTATGTGGGTATGGACCAGGCCTCAATCAAACGCTTACAGCTAGTCCAAAACGCTGCTGCACGTTTGCTGACTGGCCACAAAAAGCGCGACCACATCACCCCTATTCTGGCCTCACTACACTGGCTTCCAGTTCGGTTCAGAATTGATTTTAAAATCCTTTTATTTGTTTTTAAAGCACTAAATGGGCTGGCTCCGGCCTATATAGCTGAACTGCTCCAGCGCTACACCCCAGCCAGAGCTTTAAGGTCTGCTGACCAGCTGCTGCTGGTAGTGCCCAAGACCAGGCTAAAAACCCGAGGGCACCGAGCCTTCGCAGCAGCTGGCCCTAGGCTCTGGAACACTCTGCCCCTCCATGTGAGGTCGGCCCAGACCCTAGGGGTTTTTAAATCAAAACTAAAAACACACTTCTTCTCTCTGGCTTTCTAGTTAGAGCGGAGCACGACTCCTGACTTTTCCGTGTGTTTTATTTTTATTTTGTTTTTTAAGATATATCTGTTGTAATTTATTGTCGTTTATTGTGATTTGTAGTAATGTGTTTTTATTACATGTACAGCACTTTGGCTCGACCAAAAATCGCTTTTAAATGTGCTTTATAAATAAAACCTGATTTGATTTGATTTGAAGGAAAGTGACAACCAGGCAGCCAAAAAAAAAGAAGCAAACTAAGTACACCTAATGGGGAACAAATAAGAAAGTGGGAACAGGTGAGCAGATGGGTGGGGCTATCAGGTGATGAACAGGGGTATTTAAGGTCAGGAGGAAGTGGTGTCTGAAATGGAAATGTCTGTGGAAAAACAATTTGTACCAAAAGGACTGGGTGAAGCTTCTTC